CGCTTGCCTTATCATTGTAGTCGTCTCGACGATTTTGTTTCCCATCACCGTCGCTGTCCTCAGCCTCGTCGTCGTCTCCGTCGGCTATTCCTATCCCCGTGATCTTCCCTTGTAACCGTCACCATCGACACAACCGGTGAGCCCCCGACCCCGCCCGTAAGTGTCGCCATTGCCTACATCACAGCCCACCGTCACCACCACTGTAGCCGTCCCCCATTCCCGCGTCATCCTCGCTGGTCGTCGCCGTCACTTTCCCCATTCCCGTCAACGTTCACGTTCCCGTCAACCGTTTCCCGTCACCGTTCCCGGTCACCGTTCTCCGTCACCGTCTCCTTCGCCCGTCCTCGTCCCCGCCGCGCCGCCGCTCAGCGGTGGCGCCGCACCGTCTGTCGTTCATCGTCTGGCTCCTCCCTCCGAAAGCCGCCGCGCGGCCTGTTTCTAAATTTTCCCGGCTGACAGCTCAATTTCAAAGAAGATCTGAGCTCTCCGCGCGGGGCGCACTACATCATGCCGCCCGCGCTCAATTTACCTGACGTCCGCCTCTCCCGCCACGCCCCGCCGCGCGTGCGCCCGGCACCAAGGTGGGAACAACTGCGATTCCCCGCCGCGCTCCCCTTCAGATTCACCGCTTGCTCTCTTCTCCGCCTCCCCTTCCTTCACGCAGACCCTTCACACTTTTCTTCCGCTTATATCTCACTCGCCAGTCCAACTCCTCCACGCCACTTCGCCTTCTCCACTCACTCCGTCCCAGCACTTTCATTTTCCCTCCGGCTTCTTCCAACTTGCGTCCGCCTTCCATCGAGTCGCCACTGCTCCCCGCCACTCCGATATTCCGTCCTTTCTACCTTTCCCCCACGTCGCCAATTTCTTTCCACTTTCTTCTAAGCTCTGCCAGGACCACCAAAAAATCATCAATTCAATTCGCCACCACTCCCCGGCTTCATCCACTCAATCTGAACACACCTCTCCACTGTGTAGCCATACATCTTTCACATTTTCTCCTCAACTCACAAAACCTCAGCCACGGCCCCCGCAAACCCACCACACCTTCCGCTACTACCCATCTCTCTTCATTGAAGCACGTCTCTGTGCTCCGTACTTCGGTCCAAGCGCTTCAGCCTCTACTCTTCTTTCCGACGCGCCCCTGCTCTCCGGCATCGCCTGCTCTTCCTTGACCTTCCGAGCGCAGCGTTTCCCGCCTGTCGTGGACGAGTGAACGCCCAAATTCGCGACGACGTGGCTTCGCGGGGTCTCCTTCAAGCGAGGAATTGGCGGCGGGCGTGCTCGCTGCGAAACCGCCGCTAATTAGGCGCAGACCTGCAAGTTTCACGTTGCAGGTATTTTGGGTTCGAGACTTCAGCCTAGTAGAAATGGCCCACGCACTGATTATTTCGCGAGCAGAGGAGCTCTTAAGAATTTTTAACAGAATGACAACGAGAATGGTGTGGGCGCCTACCATACAATGTCTCATTCAGTTATTTAATTATAGTAAAAGTGGCACAGGCCAGACGTGCTTCTCGAAGCGTTAAAATTATATCTCTCTCTT